CCCCCCCCCACAGACCGCAAGCTCTCTTACTCAGAGAGGGAACCCCTGACAATTTTCTATTCTGATTATTGACACCAAATGCTAAGCACGACCGACTAAACTGGGCTTTCTACAGTGTTCGAAGAATGCTCTGCCTCAAGAAACAACCAGCACACATTTAGCACTCACGTGCCAAGAGCTGGAGGGGAGGCACCTTCTATGAACTGCAGACACGGCAGCTGAGCACAGGCTGCCCGAAGCTCTACTGTCACCCCCACCGGCTAGAGGAACAGCCACCCTCCCACTGCCACCCTGAGGTGGTCAGGGGACCAGACTGGCCCGAGGAGTCCACTCACCTGTGCCTGGAGACCGCTGGACAAAGCCGGCTGCACCGTCCCTAGAGAGCAAGCTTCATCTCCAGGCGGGGGTGCCCCTACTGCTGGCCCTCCAGACGGGCCTCCCTCTTCTCGCTTGGCCAGGGGGCCCTTTTTTGTTGACTGCATTTTAATCTGCTGGGGCTTCGAATTCATCGGGGAGTTGTTGGTGGTCTGGAGGAGCTGCAGGAGTCAAGGAGTTGAGGATGGGGCCGGAGCTGCAGGCAGTGACGTCAGCTCCGCTGCCCAGGCCCTGTGCCTCCGCCCCCAGGGACCTCCCCCTCCCTGGCCTGGCTAGCCCTGGGCGAGGTGGGCGGTAGGGAGGCCGTGACAGCGGCAGCCGGATGAAGGGAGGTCTTCATTCCCACTCAGTGTCTCGGGGCTGCTCCAACCCAGGCTGACGTCTTGCCTGCCTCAGCCCAGCCCAGAGTGGCTCTATCCTAGCCCCTGCCCCAGCTGCTCTTCCCGCAGACCACTGTGAATCTTGTCAACCCCCCACCTAGCCTCACTCCTAGCTGGAGTCCAGCCTGCCCAGAACCTTGTGAACGCAACTTGAGGCTCTCTTCCTTGCTAAGCTGGCCGAACTCCTCAGGGAATCAACTGAATCTCCTGCTGCCCCTGTGACAAGAGTCTGCGGCAGGCTTTAACTTCAGGCCTCCCAAAGAAATCACCTGAATGCCTCAGCACCTGGAAACATCTGGAGTGTGGCTTTCATGAATCTTAAGAGCTCCCACCCAGGAGAGACTGATTTAAAGCCTTCCCTTGTGGTCTAAGTTCAATCTCAAAGCAGGGAGGAGGCCTGGCTATACCCCCAAGGGCACTATGGCACGTGCTGGCAGCTTCTGCCACTCTCAGCCAGCGCCAGAGGCAAGCAGCCTTCAAAGATACGATCTTCCACCCACGGTACAGCCCTTGGAATTGCCTGGATGAGCCTGAGAAAGGCCGTTCTGGAGGCAAGGCCAGCCTGAGGTGGATCCCAAGATCTCACACAGGCTGTTTAGAGCAAGAATCAAACCACTCTATCAACTGCCCCTACCCAAGAACACGGGTGAAGCCTGCAGAGGGCATGAAGTGGGCTCCACGACACAGAAACAGCTCAAGCCCAGGCACCCTAGCTGTCCAACAGTCACTATATCCTGACCCACTGCCGTCCCCCCCCGCCCCCCCCCCCAGCCAGGCCACTGGAGCCTATGCCTGGCACCTCGGAGGCTGACCATAGCTAGGACCAGACACCTTCCTACCACTGTTTCCTAGGTAGGACAGCGAGGCATCAACCCCACCTCCTCTCCTCCACAGTCACCACCAAAGCCCAGGGAGGCAGAAGGCCCAGAGACACCTCTCGGGAAAGAGAGAACATGGCACCGAGGCCACACCTGAGCACTGTTTCAGCTCTCCCAAGGCAGGAACTAGTGCCTCTGTCCCTGGCAGTTAGCAGGATTCTGCAGGGCTTCTCCTGTTGTGCTCAGTCTGAGAATGGGATGGTCCCCAGGACTCCCTGGGACTGGGCAAAGAGGTCCTCCCAGCCATACCTTGGTGATGGTGCCCACGGCCTTGGTGCGGCCTTCCCGAAACACCAGCCGCTGGTCTATGTGCAGGTACTCAGGGGTCTTGATGAAGCGGAAGTGCACGGTGGCCTTGTCCCCGGTGCGCAGACAGTCCTTGTCCATGCTCAGGATGGTGGCCGTCTGCCGGATGCTCCCGCAGTGAACTGTCAAAAGAGCCAGGAGGTCAGGATAGGACTCGGCTGCTCAGTGGCCCCCAGGCAGGAGAGAAAGCATGGCACACGCTTGAGCTGTGGCCAGCTACAGGCCTCAGGGGACCGCGTGTTGCCAAGCGAGCTGGAGGTCCGCTCCTGCTGCACACTGTCAGACCCCACCTGTCCCCGGACCCACAGTCTTGGTCCCCAAATACAGGGCATTCTGTTTGCGTGTGTACCTTCTCTAGACTGTTGGCCTCTTGACAGCAGAGTTTGCCCATCTCTTTGTTCCTGGCACCTTGGCAACACTGCCTGGCACATAACAGGCCGACGTTTGCTAAAGGAGTGAGTGTGAGGCTCTTGAGGGCAAGTCCGGGTCTCCAGAGCCCGACACAGAACCGGCACTCAGCTAATGTGTGCAGGAACTGATTAAACCCTGCAGCTTGTGGGCAGAACAGAGGGGAAGGCATCACTAAACAGGATGGAGACCTGACTCTGGGGTTTGGGGAGCTGTTAACACTTTGTTGAGGGAGTTAGAGCAGAGGGCCTCCTGGGCGGGCAGTGCCCTTAGACACCTACCCATGGCCTGGTAGCGTGGACTGATCGTGGTGGGGTGGTGGAGGACAAGGATCTCGGCCTCAAACTCCCAGGATGCTTGGGGATTCAAGCGTGGGGAAACCATCACCATGCCCTTGCGGATGGACGAGCGCTTGATCTGAAAGAAAGAGGGAATCCCAGACCTCAGGGATAATGATGCCCAGGATTCTATCCCCTGGTCCCAGAGGACCAGGCGTCCCCTCTGGGAACGAAGACCACCCCAGCTCAGCCTTGCCCTCTTACTGCACTGGACCACAGGCCTTCCAGGTGGACAATACAAGGCCGGCTTAAGTGCTATATGGGAAGCTTAAACACTGCTCTGCGGGGCAGCGGGGGCGGGGAGGGGTGGTTGTGTCAGGAAAGGCTTCACACAGGAAGTGGCATTTCAGCTGGGCCTTGATGGCTGAATAAGAATTAAGTGGAGGTGAGAGGGCACAGGCAGGCGAGTGTGCAGATGTCAGAGACAGGGTGAGCATGATGACTGCTGGAGGGAGTAAGGAAATCCCATTCCATTGGCTTATTTGGTTGGCAGGGAAGGCAGATGACCCTATAGCTAGCGCTCGTCCCAAGTCCTGAGGGATGGAAGGTTGAGTGGGAGGAGGATCTGGCACGGACCCCAATGGCCCTTTGCAGTGGGACCATCTGCATAGGAGGGAAGTGTCTTTCTGAACTCACCACTGAGTTTGGGGGGCCCTCCTCAGGCACTAGAAGGGGGAACAGAGCTTAGGAGGCAGGTAGGCCTGGGTCAAGTCCTGGCTATAGCACTTACTAGTTGTGTGATCCTGGGTAAGTCCCTTGGGCTCCCTGAGCCCCCGTTTTCTCACCTGTAAAAGTGAGGTCAGTGATCCCTGCCTTACTGAGCAGCCAGGACAACTGCAGATGGCCCGGAGCCTAGCGTAATGGAACCCGAGGGGGCTGTTCTTCATATTCTAGACACTCACCTTCTTCAGCGCAAAGGAGGCCGTCTGGCCCCCCCGCACCTCCTTGACAGGCATGCGCTTGCGGTGGATTGATTTGACAGCAATGGACAGGAAGTTACCCAGGGGATCTGGGCCCAGCAGCAGTGTGTCATTCAGCTTGATCAGGCCTCTCAGTGTTGTCCCCGACACCACTGTCCCCACACCCTGCAAAGAAGGCCAAGGCCCAGTAAGTCTATGCCCACTCAGACCCTCCGCACCGGATACTTGTCCTGATGCCCCTGTAGGAGGTGCCCACCCAGTCTCCCACGCCGCTCGGTCCACCAGAAGCCACTCACTGGGACAGAGTAAGTGTCGTCAATCTGAAACTCAGCGGGCTCTTCCTCTCGGTAGCTGGTGCGGGGGGAGAGGAGGTTGAGGAACATCTTCAGCAGATCTAGGTTCTCACCTGTGACGTTGGAGATCTGGAATATCGGGCACATCCTAAGTGGAGGGTGGAGAAAGACAAAGGAGCTCAGATGGCCAGCTCCTGGGTGACAGGGTGGGAAAGGTAAGCACGTGCTGCCTGCTAAGGGCCCCCGGCCTCCTAGGGCTCTACGCCTCTCCCCTGGCCTTCCAAGGGCTGGCCAGACCTGCTCTAAGGCCTTCTTCTCTCACTCAGTTTTCTCTCTGAAATCTGTCCCCTCGTCCCTGTCCTTCCACCACTGCTCTATTTGGGGCTCGTATGACTGCCTCTTCTTCCTAAAGCACACACATGCTTGTTTAAAATTCTTACCTGCCTTTCTGCTGCAGAGGAGACAGCCTGAATTCCCTCTTTCCAGCATGTCGGCAGGTTTATTTCCCTCAAATTCCTGTCTGCCAGCCAGATCAGAGAACCTTTGCTTCTCCCGAAAGCCTAATACTTTTTTGCTCCCCGTGTGTATCTTCACTCTGATCCTCCTGCCTGAATTTCTTCCCTTTTACCCAACTAAAAAACCCTCTCATCCTTCAGAGCCCATCTCCAATGCAGATTTTTCCAGGAAACCCTTCCCAGATGGGCACTCTTGACTCCTGCCAGCTCTTGGAAAACTTTTTGTGTCTGTTACATGTGACTACATCTCAGTTTCCATCAGTCATTACAATAGGCTCTCTGTCTCCTATCCAGGGTTAATCAGAGTTTTCAAGATTGGGAATTATATAGTCTCCATAGCTTCTAGAATAACACCTGCACAGAAGAGGCGCTCAGAATGAAATGAAATGAAATGAAATGGGGCCAGCTGAAACATACCCCCTCTGCTGGCCGCCTGGTGGTACTGAAGACAGCATCAGGGCACAGCCATAGACCAAAATGCCAGGCTGCTCTGGGTTCTGTACTACAGACCAAGCCAGGAGGCGATGGCTCCTAAGCAGCCCCCAGACTCTGGGAAAAGGAGCAAACTTAACAAAGTTCACTATTATCAAGAGAGTAGCTCTCTGACCAAGGAGGTGACCACCCTGAGGACAAAGACTGCCTGAGTTAACTGTGAATCCTCAATGCCCGGATGAAGAACCTGGCACAGAACAAACATCCAATAAATGTCTATGGAATCAAAGGATACACTAATAAGTAAATGCCAAAACTGATCTGTGATGAGACAGCTTTTGGGGGACAACAGTATAAAAAATTAATAATAAGGGGCGCCTGGGTGGCTCAGTCGGTAGACGTCCGACTTCAGCTCAGGTCGTGATCTCGCGGTTCGTGAGTTCGAGCCCCGCGTCGGGCTCTGTGCTGACAGCTCGGAGCCTGGAGCCTGCTTCGGATTCTGTGTCTCCCTCTCTCTCTGGTCCTCCCCCACTCACACTCTGTCTCTCTCTCAAAAATAAATAAACATTAAAAAAAAATTTTTTTTAATTAATAATAAGTTATAAAAATGGCTGCGTTTGTATCACACAGCAGCCAGACACAGGGCTAAGTGCTTTACATACATCATTTCCAACACTTATGAGAACGCCATGGAGAAGGGAATATTATTCCCATTTCACAGGTAAGAAGACACTGAAGCCTCAGCTGGGATTCCAACCTCAGCAAGGCCAGCACCTCAGAATATGGGTTGCCTGACAGAACTTCTGGGCAACACTGCCCGGCTGGGAGAACCTGTACTGAGTTCAGAATCTTCTAGTCCATCCAATCTCTATGCCCGCCCAGAAGTGAGTGCTCACTACCCATTTACCTCTCAGAGCTGAAGTTGGAGGCCGTAACAATCACATCATCCTTGCTCTGTACCAACACAGGGATCTTCCGGCAGCCTGGCGACTTCAGCAGGCGCTGTAACAGCTTCAGGGTTTCTTAAAGGGTGAAATGGAACACAATTAGGGGGACACAGCTTTCTCTTTGGCCAGGCTTCCAGAGCAAGACTGGTCTACTCCTTACTGACATAAGCAGGAGACAGATGGACAGACCAGCGTTAAATGGCAGCCCTGGAGAAGCAAAAGGAGGATCAAAACCTGGGGTGGGTAGGTGCTTGCTAGAGTTAAAGAGAGCATAGATAAGGCCTTTCTGGTAAGGTTACAAGTCTGAAACCGGTCAGATTTCTCCAGAGTCTCTAAAAGACCCACATCCTGTAAGCCACGACAAAGCCAATGTTCTCAGAATGTTCTGCTTCCTCGATAAAAATTCATCTGACAAAGGACCTCTAAGACATTTACACATCCACAGAAGCCCTTATGAGGCATTCCAAAAGGACACCTCTCTACTTCTCATCTACCGTCTGTAGCAGTGAGGAAGAAATGTGAGGCTGTTCTGAAGCCTTTGGTGATAGAAGGCAATCAGACCCTCTGCCCAAATGTCTCCATAGATATCCCCTGTTTAGATGCTAAAAGCCAAGGCCCTGGCCCTGTGGCCAGCTGAAAAGAGGTGCCAGATCAGGGATCTCAAGAATCCTATATTTGGAACCAGAAGGAACAAAGAGCAGGGCATCATTTGAGGGTGTGCTCAGACCAAGAGCTAAACAAAGGAGGAAGCAGAAGATTCCGGGTTGACGGAAATCCAGACCAAGGTCTGAGCACAAGGGAAAAAAGCAAAAGATTCTGGGCTGAAGCCCTGGCAGCACCACCAAGGAGCCACAGTGGGCGACAGCCCCAAATAGAGAGACTGCTGCTAGCTGCAAGCTTCACTTACCTTGTAGGATGTTGGCAGGACACATGTCAATCTTGGTGACCACCACAAAGACAGGCACATTGAGTGCCAGTGCCAGGCCCAGATGTTCCTTGGTCATCCCCACGATGCCAGCATTGCTCCCCACCTGCCCCAACACAGAAGCAACGGTCAGGACAAGGGAGACAGAGTAGGGGTGAGCACAGGGGCTCGAAGAAGGCTGGGGTAAGAGAGAGCTCCCATCTCTGAGGCTTCCATCAGAACAGGACACATGGGGCAGAAGTCTTGGGCCGGAAACCAAATAGCTGTAGATGGAAGCTGGACTAGGCACCAATGGCTTTGACCTCTGATTTAACGATGTAGGCTATCCAAATCAGAGGAGACTTGGAAACGATAAAAAAGACAAACTCAGACAGTCTGGGAAAACAACCGTCTAGAGCCATCAAGGATACATTCAGTTTAACATCACTGGCCTCCAGTTTCCTGGTCTATAAAATGGAGCAGTAATGACACCCACTTTAGAGGGCCTGTTAAGGTTCAAGTGTCATAACATACGTCAGAGATCCAATACAACCGGCACCAATGAGGTGTTCAGGCAATGGCAGCTGTTGTTATTGCTACTGGTCCTTCCCGTAACAATAAACGTTTTTTTTTTTTTTTTTAATTTTTTTTTTTTTTTTTTCAACGTTTATTTATTTTTTCTGGGACAGAGAGAGACAGAGCATGAACGGGGGAGGGGCAGAGAGAGAGGGAGACACAGAATCGGAAACAGGCTCCGGGCTCTGAGCCATCAGCCCAGAGCCTGACGCGGGGCTCGAACTCACGGAGCGCGAGATCGTGACCTGGCTGAAGTCGGACGCTTTAACCGACTGCGCCACCCAGGCGCCCCAACAATAAACGTTTTAAAATATCACCATAAAGGCTGCCCAAATAAACTAGGGCACATGTACAAGTGTGCCATACAAAACATACCAAGCATGCTATCCAGAAGAAAGAGAGACTCCTATCTACTGACATGGGTTAATCTCTAAGACATGTTTTTAAGAGGAAAAAAAAGGCAAGGTGTATGTAGCATGCTACCGTTAAAAGGGTGTAGAATGGATCCGGGTTTGAAAACGGCGGCTGTAAGAAACTTGGGGAACATCTGAGACAATATAAACACTTAGAGCCTAGATATTGGAGGGTATTAGGGAACTCATGTGCATCTTCCCAGCTACAGTAACAGTAGGAGACAGTCCTTACTTTTAGGAGCTGTGTGCTAAAGTATTTGGGGGTCAAGAGTCACAATGCCTATAATCTTTCAAATGGTTCAACCGAAACAACAAAAACACACATATGCATCCATCACAAACACAGATGAACACAGCAAAATGTTAATGGTTGTTGAATCCGAGCAGTGGGTCGATGGTGTTCGCTGTACTATTCCCTCAACTTTCCTGACTGTCTGAAACTGGAGGGAGAGAATACATCCGCAATTTCTGGTATGATCACAAAATATCTCTGGAGACTACATATGAAACTGGAAATACTGGTTGCCCTGGAGAGGAAACGGAACAGAGGAGGAAGGGAGACGTTTCAGCAGAAGCATTTCGGTGTCTTTTTGTTTCTGTGCCATAAGAATGCGCTACTTACTGAAACTTACTGAAGCTGAATTCAAGTTGTTATGACGGGGCACCTGGGTGGCTCAGTCTGTTAAATGTCTGACTCTTGATTTTGGCTCATGTCATGATCTCACGGGTTGTGAGATCGAGCCCTGTGTCAGCCTGTGTGCTGAAGGCACAGAGCCTGCTTGGGATTCTCTCTCCCTCTCTCTCTGCCCTTCCCCTGCTCCTGAGCACATGCTTGCTCTTGCTCACTCGCTCGCTCTCTCAAAATAAATATTGTCGTAACATATTTACATAGCGTTTAATACATTCCAGAACGGTTTCTTCCCTTTTTAAAATGTTTTAAAGTTTATTTATTTGAGAGAGAGAAGCACAAGTGGGGTAGGGGGAGAGAGAGAGGGAGAGAGAATTCCAAGCAGGCTCCGAGCTATTAGCGCTGAGCCCGACCATGGGGCTCGAACTCACTAACCGTGAGATCATGACCTGAGCCGAAATCAAGAGTTGGATGCTTAACCGACTGAGCCACGCAGGTGCCCCTTACATTCCAGAACGGTTTCGAGCGATGCCCTTCATTTGATCGCACTTCACAGGTGAGCCGCTATCCCACTAACACAGACGTCCTCTGCCATGTTCCCCTCTGCTCACACCAAGACACCTCCTCTCTCTTCCTTCTAATTCTTCCCGTCTCTTCCAACCACCTTTCCTATCCAACCCAGACTTGTTTGCAGTCTTTCCAGCTGGGATAAGAGAATGCTCTATCGCTCTGTTGTCTATATATTTTACAGACTCCTTTCCCCCCTGGAAATTTATTATCATGGAGCCATGATGGTTTCATGTTTTCTACAGAAATTTTTAATATTTGGATTATAGCCTAAAAGTCAGATAATGTATAACATTTCATCTAGGGTGAAGGTATTTCCTTTAATTGCCCTTGTTCACTATACTTAGTTAGAAAAATGCCTACTTTACACTGGTTTCTACACCTTTCTCAACATAAACCCAGCAATTCCCCCAAATACGCCCTATGGCTCTTCCTCTGAAACCCCTTCTTGTAGAAGTTTTCCTTAGCCCAAAGTTGGTGGTGGCCCCTGAAATGCTCAAGGATATGGGAGATCCTGATTTAATGAGATCCCAAGAACCTTGGGTAGAGAGCCACCAAGAGTGTTCACACATATGCTCTGCTTCTTTACTCTCCAGTTTGGGGAGAATTTGCCTGAGAACCTGTGTTTGTGGGGCAACTTGATCAATTATGCTCTCAACAGATGCTTGTGTTTACTACACTTATTAACACAAGCAGCTGGAGGAACCAGGAAATGGGGAAGGGCTTTGAGAAGCACTTGCCAAAGGAAAACTTGCTCACTTGTGCTCTCCGTGGAAGCTGTGAAGCTGTGTGCAAGGCAGTGGGCCTCACAGACTCCCACACGCTGTCCAGGGAAGAAAATCAGTGGGACCCAAATGGAAACTTTGCAACATGATCCAACACAGAAGCCTCTGCTCCCTTTCCTTTTCAGTTGATCTATATTTTGATGAGCTGCCAAAAAATCTACTCACTGGACTGTAAGCTCTACGGGAGCCCGGGGTGGCCCTGTATCCTTCAGGCCCCAGGAACGGTGCCAGGCACACGGGAGCCTCTCCTCCCAGGCTTTGACAGAGGTGACCTCCCGGGCCCCTCTTGACTGCCGTCTGTCCTCTCTTCCATTTCTTCCCAGGTTCGTCTCGTCTCTGGGGGTGCCACCTAGTATCACCTCCGCAAAGGAGCCTAACCCCGCCACGGGAAAACATTTCTGAAGGTGGTAAGTGAGCCCCAGGAGAAACCCTCCTCTATGCCTCTCTGAAAAATAAAACAGGTCTGCAACCGGCACCAGGGGGAGAGATCGAGGTACGTACACCACCAAGGTACAAGACCACAGCACTCAGGGGACCAGGCAACCCTGTAAAATGTGTCATCCTTACCCAGTGTCAAAGCCCCGAATCAACAGGCCTCTGTCGCAGAACAATCTCTAGCGCTCGCGCATCACCACCTCCCAAACAACCCAGCCGGAGCCTCCCCTCCTCAGGAGTGCTTCCCACTTACCATGAGCATGCAGAAGTCCGGCAAATGACCTGTCATGCCAAAGACAGTGGTCTTCAGGTACTTCTCATGGCCAGCCAAGTCGATGAAGGTAATGACCTTAGTGGATTTCTCACAAATCTTTGTCCATTCCAGGCTGCCACCATGGCTGTCTGGCTTATTTACCACATTGCCTTCACTGTCAAAGCCCAGGATGTCGTTGCCCACGCTGCTGGTGCGACCAGATTCAATCTCATGTTTGTGGCGGAAGAGTTTCTGGCGGGCAAAGCCTCGGCCGTTGTCCAGCTCCCCGTGTGTCAGGACCCCCAAAAGCGTGCTTTTGCCGGCATCCACGTTGCCTACCACTGCTACCCTGCACGTACACGAACCCATACATCCTTGTGAGTTAGTGGGTAAGCAAAGCGAACCCGAGTACCTGGATCTCTAAGGACACACTGCCCCTGAGCCTCTGCAGCCCACTGCTCCTCCCACTCGTGGCTGAGCACATTGGGAATGTCCCTGGAAGCACAGCCTCCAGAGTAGAAAGAATTATTTCGGAGGAACTAGACTCCCTTCTCTCTTGACGTCCACTAGCTTCCTCAAAGCTGCCAGACAGGAGCCCCAAGCCGGCAGAGGCACAAAGTGCTCCCCTCCAATATCCTGGTTTTCAGCCTCACAGGTTGATTAGATGAGACAACGTAGCCTCAGATAAGAAAAGGGTGCCTGGGTGGCTCAGTCGGTTAAGAAAAGGCAGCCCACACCATGGCCACAAATGGATGGCTGGCCTCCACTCTTACCAAATGGAAATATTTAGGGAGGGGGAAGTACAGAAGCAGAAAACGGAGCTATCATATCTCTGGACACTCTTTCCTGGCCTCAGAAAGGGAAGGAGTGTCAAGTGCCAGAGGTTCAATCACTGCTCTCCGTGAAGCCCTAGACCGCAGGGTCACGCAGGGGTTCAGAACCCCTGAACTGTTCCGAAGGCCTCCTCACCTGACCTCCAGGAAGTCATTGTCTCCTACTCGTTTCCGGACCAGGTAATCACGCACACGGCCCCCCGCTTCTTGGCGTTCCCGCAGGAGGATGACATCAGCCTCTATCTGTTCCGCCATGCTCTTCACTGTGGCGTAGGAGGCCTCCATGTCAGCTTCACTCAGTCCATACTCAGTCCCATCTGGTGACAAGAGCCCAGACATCAGCCTGCCAACAAGTCAGCCGTTCAGCCACCCCCACCAAACCGCACCCTCCCCCCACCCCACCGACCCCAGGCACTGGAGAACAACACCGCTCTCTCTGACACTTTTCAAAAACTTGGGCACACACAGAGTTAATAAATAATAGTGCCACGGGCTTCCCCTTGAAGCAGGGTATTCGTTAATTCATTCAACAGTAATCACTAAGACTCTCCAAGGTTTTATGCCAAGTCTCATGCTGGGTACTGGGAGTACAGGTGCCCTCGGCGAGCTCACAGCCCAGCGGGAGAGACAGAAAATTAATTAATTGCAATACAACTTGAGTGCTTTACTATAGAATTATACAAAGGGAATGTAAAGTGTAAGCAACTAGCACAGCCTAGGGAAGCTGAGGACAGCTCTGCAGGATGCCGAGTCCAAGCTGGGTCTCCAAGTATGAAAAATGGGCCTACGGAGAAAGGAGTAAAAACATCCTAGGCAGAGGAGCAAAGCACGGAGCATGGCAGATCACGGCACATTCAAGGACCAATAAGCAGCTTGGTGTGTTGGGGAGCAGGATGTCAAGTGGCGAGAGACCCTATAAGGGGTGAGAGCCGTTAAGAGCAGACAGACACCAGACGGCAGCAAAACACATTATGTACCAGGCAGTGGGAAGCTTTGGGAGTTTAGGCAGGGGTGTAACACGATCAGATTCACTGTCGGCTAGAAAGAGGTCTTGAGCAGCAACAGAGAGTGTGCACTGGCAAGGGAGAGACCAGAGAGGGGGAGCCCGGTTAGGAACTAATTCTAATAACCCAAGCAAGAAATGATGAGGACAGGAGAATTGGGAGAGAATTGAAGAATGATTTTAGGGATAGATTTTTAACTGAGGCGGCTCAGGTGAAACATCCAGCAAGTAGCCGGAAAAAAGGAGTCTGAGCTCAGAATGAGGAAGGGAGTCCAACGGAAAGACAGGGACCAATCAACCAAATCACCTGAGTGTCTACTGTAAGGTAATCCCTGCGAGGTGCTTTCAACTTGGGATCGTTCAATTCCTCCCACAAGAGCTCGTCGGCTTTTCCTCCAGCCTCTGGGTCTCAGAGAGCGAGTGCCTCTGCCCCTTCCCCAGGCTAATCCCCCAGCATGTGCCCAACCCCTTCTCTTCTACTGCCTCTCAAAGACTTTACACTGCCTTTTCCCACCCCCTCTTCCCTTCTACCACCAAGCATCTCAGGGGAGTGATCACACCCGCTGACTGTATTTCTGAGGACTCTAGAAGAAATTAATTTTCAAGTCATTGATGGCCTTCAACCACTCATCTAATGCCCTTTACTTGACCCCCTACAACACTGGACACCGCTGGCTACCCTACCTTTGCTTCCCGAAGCACTTCCCTCCCATGCTGCCTGCCTATTGCCTGAACTCTTCTGATTTACCTCTCTACCCTCTGTCTGGCTCCTTCCTCTCTCAGTGGTCCTCTTCTCTAGCCTCTGAACATTTATTTCCCTTGGCCATCTCATCCTATGGCTCCAACCGTCACTTTGTAAACGACAAAAACACTCATTTCTAGCACCGTCCTCTTCGAAGAGCTCCAGACTGGATTTCCAGCTGCATGGGTGAGAACTCTTAGAAGCCCGGCATCTAAACTCAACCACTCCACACCCCTTTTTAAACCACAGCACAAAAACGAACACTGCTAGTAAAGCACTTTAGTCCTCCGTGCAATCCTATGGGGTAAGCATTACTGTTCCCATTTAGCAATGGGATAAACAGAACCCGGAGAGGTCTCAGAGCTGGTAGACAGCCAAGGGGCCGTGGGCGTTTGGGTTTTCTGATTCCAAACGTAGAGCCTTTTCCTCTGGCCAGGGTTCCTCTTCGTGCCCGGCCAGTTCCTCCCTTGCCTTCCCTACTTCTGATGGCAACACTACCTTTCCAGTCACCCAGGCTCAACACTCATCCCTCCAGTCCTGATTCTAGCTTTACGCCTCGCCCTTCTGTCCTTGTCCCTGCTCTCCTGTTGCCAATCCAGTGCCACCAGCCCAATTCAGGCCCTGTTCCACCTCAAACACTACAAGACCCCTAGCTGGTCGTAGCACAGCCCGGCTTTATTCCCTGCAACCCATCCTGCATACATCCAGGCACAGTTCTGGCGTTGTTACTTCCAAGTCAAACCCTCGGGCTCCCCCAGTCCAGTAGCAACCGGTTCCAATTTCTTCAAGGTCTCCCCCATTTATCCCACACCCCCTCCTGTTTTGTCCCAACGCAAGTGGCTCAGTTACCATCCCTCCTTGTTCCCTACACTTCTTCAGATCTATTCCTTTGCTTACGTATTTCCCATCCTAGAAAGCACGCATCAGCACACCACACACTACCCCCCTTGTGGAATAGGGTTCTGGATGCATGTCTTCTCCCACTATATACAAGGATCTTGAGGACAGGGTATCTCAAACATTCCCTGGATGCCCCATGAGGGTGCTTTTCCTCCATCAAGTCCTCAAATGTTTACAAAATGCAAAAAAAAAAAAAAAAAAAAAAAAAAAAAAAAAAAAAAAAAAAAAAAAAAAGAAAGAAAGAAAAGAAAAGAATACAGAGGGATTGGTTGGGCTGAGGAGTTCCCAAACTCATGGCCTACTTAGCTCTAGAAATCTTCTAGGTTAGAGAAGGCCTTACTGAAAGTGTTCCTAAGAGAAAGCTTGCTAACCTTGCCATTCTAGCCAGACTCCCAAATTCTATCCAACCTTCCCTGCTTCTGGTACAACAAAATGCTTCCGGGTCCTGTTTCACACCAAGGGGCAATCACGAATGTCACCTTGTCTATCCAGACCTCCCAGCGAATGCCGCTAGTCACATTACCCTTCTCCAGCGTGCACCGCATTCCTCATTCTGTAGGAGTGGAGACAAAGGCCAAGGAGAAAAGCTGTAGAGGTCCAATTACTTAAGGCCACATATTTAGCCATGCCCAGACCTAATCAGATTTCTGTCCTGCCATCTGGCTTACCTTTTCTGTATGCACTCTCCTCAACCGTGCTTTTAGGATAAAAGTCTTAATTCCTTGATGTGGCGTTCAAAAACCATCAAGATGTGGGCCCTGCTGATCTGTCCAGCCTACCCTCCTGATACTCCCAACCTCACATTCTATGCTCCCACTTTACAGAATCACTTTTGGTCCACCAACTCTTCCACAATCACCAATGCCTCTGTGCCTCTGTGCATGTGGCTTTCTCAGCTCACTCACTACTGCCTCCATTTAACCTGGAAAACTCCTACTCACCCTTTAGTATCGTTTCAAGGGGCACCTCCTCTTTGAAGCCCTTGCTGACTGCCCCCCAGAGACCTGACACTCCTCCTATTTCCCTGAACTTTTAATACAGGAGCTGGTTCTTAGAAAGCCATGACTTAATATGAAAAATGAACAAAGTTCTTCTTGAAAAAAAATCTCCTGGTAAATCAACTCTAACCTGGAATCTTTAAAAAATTATTACTGCCATGATTAATACTAGGTAACGTTTCTGCAATACTATAGTCCAGTGTTAATCTTCGCCATGACCCACGGGACAGATTCTATTATCAACCCCATTTGAAGACAAGGAAAAGAGCCAGTAGGCAAATGGAGATCTACTACCAGGTGAGACCGCCTCCTTTTACAATTAGGAACGTATACTTAATGAACATATTACTCTGCCTAGAACTTTTTAACATCTAACTTACCCACACAAAATATCTCTGAGGTAGGGTGGGGAAGTGTGCCATTAACTCCATTTTACAGACGAAGGAAGTGATAAACAGAAGTAAAGCACAGGAAGCCGGTAATGAAGCTGACCCCTGGGGGCCTTGCATCTGGTTTAGTCCTCTATTTGATGTTCAACTTGTTTAACTAGTTATGCTCTCTTTCTACCTCTAAAGAATTCCAGTAGGAAGGAGTCACTGAATCTAACAGCATCCAATTGCTGGATGCAAAGATAATGCTTGGGTGTGTAGATGTAATAATGAATACTGAACATCTTATGCTTTGCCACCGGAGGGTTAATTAGTTGTGAGTTGCCAAGGCATGGTAATGATGGGGGGGGAGGGGGCGGGGAAGGGCAGGGTCCTAAGAATAAGACCATCAAAGAACAGTCCCGACGCTTGTCAAAATTGGTCTAGATATGGTTTCTTCAATTCTACAAGCGTGAAGTGGCCTGAGAGTGGCTCATCCTAACACAGCAGGCCAGATGTGCACCTGAACAAAAGCTTTTAAAAGTCTACCAACCAACCCCTGGTCACCAAATCGAACGGCTCTTTCTGAACCTGACTCTCCTTGCTGTCTTTAGCACTTGCCAGTGCTGACCAACCCCCTCCCCTTCTTGTCAGGCAACCTCTCAGTGTGTCTACCTCTCTGACCATGCTTTCTCTAAAGTGATAAGACCCGAAACTGGGAAGGCAGCAGCAAGGATGGAATGGAAGGGACGGATAGGAGAGACATTTCAAAGAAAGCACAGCAGTATTTGGAGATCAAACCCTTCTTCCATACGTCAGTCTTGCGGCATTTCCAAATATTTTCTGCTCAGATTATCTATGTATATACTATCTTTCTTCCCGGGGCGGAGGCCAGTTTATAAGTATCCAAAAGTACTTTGCAACAGTATCAAGCCCTTAGAAGATACTTAACAGATCTTCTAGTCAAATAGCTAAAGAATGACTTTGAGTTTTTCTCCGTCTCTGACTAAAAAGAATTATTACCTGCCTTTGCAAAGCCTGCATTCAGCAAAGAACTGTTCCTTTAATGACGCATCAAGGCCTACCAGGGCTTCCTGTGAAGACGACAGAGCCAAGTTCTGGTCCAGGCTAAATTCATAATTGTTAACAAGCCCAGCTGCCATTTCAGCAAAAATAATGTCATAATGAAGCAAGAGTAAGTAGGCCTTGTATCGAGGGAATATTTTTTAATACCTAACTTATCCACACAAAGTACCTCTGAGGTAGGGTATCCCTAGGAGTGACCAAAGGGGGGGGCGGGGGGAAAGCCCAAGATAAAATTTAGAGGACTGCCCTCCTCTAAAACAGTGGGCCCCATTACAATGGAACAAGCAGGCTGGAGGACATTGATCAGCCCCTTCCGGAATGGTAACAAGGCTACACGTCTGATAGGATCTCACAGGGAGAAAAAGAAGACTTCTGTTATCACAGCTAACCACAGCGAATGGTCAGTGTGGTCTGAGGCAAGGCGGTCTTGCCAAAGGGAGGAACGCTGGGTGTCCTTTTGTTGAAGACGTCAAGAAGAATCACGAAGGTTCTCTGCAAAACAGGTTATAACAGAGATGGGATCCGTGAACCGGGCCTAAAGAGGGAAGGGCCTAGAGCTGCCCAAGGAAGACTTAACTGTAGGCCTCACTGTGACTTGCTCTGTTACCTGGGATAAGAAGTTTCCTCGCTTTGTGCTTTCCCTTTATGCAAATTGAGGGTACTGGAGACAGCAAGGAAGCATCTGTAGAACCGCCTGGACAGTGAATCTTTGACATCAAGCATATTATGGTCACTAGGGTGGGAGTTAGCATCACCGCTTTGCACTGTTATGTCCTCCTGAACAGTTGTGCAGACACTAAAGAATCACTGCAGCCGACACAGGACCAGGAAGTTGATAAAAGAAGGACAATGTGCTCTAAATAATTTTTTAAAAATAAAGCGAAAGGAAAACTATGCTCACCTGATCCCTGCCCAATGACATATATGGTCTCTCCGCATCCCTCGTCCATCCTCTCCCACATCTGCCGAAGTAGGCTGTCATACTGCTCTGATGTAGGGCTCACTAGAACCAGCTAGAAGAGAAACCAACAGCCTTAAGACCACACTTACTAGAAGAGCACCACAGCCAAGGTAGATCAGCCGCCTGACCAAAGACCCTGATTGAACCCCGCAGCATCTTGATCTGAAATAACTACGCGGCCCCCCCTCATGTCCTCTCTGCCTCCCTTGAAATAGCCTTTGAGCCTTAGCCTTTTGGGAATTGAGTTCTATGATGTACTAAAAATGAGTATGTCCGAGCCACAACCCACAGACAAGAGGGTGTGAGCAGCCTGCTTCCTGCTGCTTGACAGGAGGGGCAGGACCCACCACGACTGACAATGGGGCACTGTGGGGAGGCATTCAGGAGCCGTGCTTTGGTACCTACATGCCAAAGTCTGCTACCTGCACTTTGCAGTTCACCGGACAGAGAGCTCCTACCCTGCCATTCCCGCCACCCTAGGCCACTGGTTCTCACAGTAACCAAAGAATTCGGTTCCATCTCGCCTTGGCAAGATCTTGATTATTTAGAATCAGCAGCAAAAACTGCCGCAAGACTCATCTCCAGCAACAAAACACCCATTACCAGTAAGGCGGGTAGTGAGCGCCATCATTCTGCAAATTTCTGTCAATAACGTGAAAATATACACTGCTTATTTGGGGAGGCCATTTAGCAAGAGGTATGTCAGATTCCATTCTCTGACCGCTTGTGTGTGACCTTGGACAAAGAACTTAACCTCTCTGAGTCTCAGTTTTTCAATCTACAAATAGGGATTATACTACCTGAATCCTAAGGCCACTACAAAGACCAAGTAAGATAACATGTAAAAACACCCAGTCCACGGCTCAGTAAGTGGGAATTCGTTTCCTTCGCCCAATCAGCCCTAGGAAAACCTTCTCAGATGAAACTAGCCACTACAGTTCACTGATCATTTCTCCCTCTGAAAGCTCGCAGAACTTTTGGTCTCCGTAGTTCATTGTAGCAAGCATATACACTTATAGCTTCTAGTCTTCTCCTCAGGAATCAACACATCCCTTCTCCCTCTCCACATTGTCAGTTTTTCTTTTCAATATCATCAAAATTTACAGACCTACGGCTTCTCAAGTTCAAAACAGTGAGAAGGACTTCCCCAGCTCTGCAATGAAGTAACACCGGCCTATCCCGGAACATTAAATGAGTTGGTCAGGAAATGACGGTACTACTCTCTTTGCAACTCTGCCTTGCACGTTCCCACCCTGTGTCTTCAGGATTCTTCAGCACCTTGACCATGAACTGACACCCGACTCATCTGCTTCTGAAGCAAGTGCATTTCTTACAACTTCCTGAGTTGACTCATTAGGGCTTGTACTTGTCAACCTGGGTGCTGCCTGGGTCTTTTGCTTCAAGCCCATGGCCTCACACATTGCCTCTGGCCATCCCTCTCTCTGAGCTTGGCTATTCTCATTACGGTAGTGGAGACAGCAGACAAGAAAACTGTTAAAGAAGCCAGATAGCTGGTTTCTAGGTAGGCAGCTGAGACTAGAGGGAGAGAAAACAGTGGAAACTTGGTTGCTTAGGTTGCAAGGGAACTTCTCTCCGGTTTGGGTCAAGTTGCATGCAGTTTTGCCACCAGACTTTGACAAGGCATGAATGTTTTCAAGGCTCGACAAACACCTTTCATTTTAACTATCCAGCAACAGGTAGGAGGTGGCATTGATGTTCTGTCTTCCACCCGCTGCTATTTAATCTGCACAGGGAATTACCAGTTGTTCAGTTCCCTTCAAACGTTTACTGAGTAGTATGTATCGGGCGCTATACTAGGGGTCTGTGAAAGAGACAAAATTCAATCAAGTAACTTTAAAGATCTCATTGGCTTTATTCTACATTCATGAATCAGGCAGCATCCTATCCAGCAAGGAGAAAGGAGCTCCATGTAGCTGTACAGAAAGGAGAGATAATTTTATAGGCAGAAATGAGGGGAGACAAGGTTATTAGCGCAAGAAAAGAAAGGATCCGTTCCAGGCAAGGTTACCTTCTCTTTGGGAAAAGCGGGGGGGGGGGGGGGGG